AGGCCCTGGAGCCCCTGCACACCTCCTGAGCTTCCCCAGGCCCTGGAGCCCCTGCACACCTCCTGAGCTTCCCCGGGGGACTAGTGTTTTGACCACATGCTTGTGGCCAAGGGAGGAACTTGCCATTCCTAGCACTGAACCTATGGTTTGCATTCCCACATCAGTGCCTTACTAGGGTCTTCTAAGGGTAGAGTTTTAGGCTGTTATGTTTACAGATATTTGCAATGTGGGTGGCACTAAAGAGCACAGCTACAGAATGTACAGCAGTCAGTCTGAGCTCCCATCTCTGATTTAATACCCGCAAGCCATCAGTGTAACAAATGGCTAGTTCTCCATCAGCAGAACCGATGCACATGAGGCAAGGGAAGGTTGCAAAGGAATGCTGGCAGTGGAGTTTCATGCTGTGTATTCCATTCCTAAATGCTTAAGGTTAGTGAGTCAGTCCTGAGAAGAGCCAAGAGAGGAGAGGAAGTCTGCCATTCTCTGGGGGATCTCTTACATGTTAGCTGTTAACTGTGCTTCTCGTTTGCATGTCTTAAAAGTGGTCAGTCACAGACCAGGGACACACCAGACACACACACAATGTCTTTGAGGGTATCTGGATTCAGGACAGACATAAGTGAAAGCCTTGGCTGTAACCATTGTACTTCGTGTGTTTTGCTCTGAAGCCATTCGTTCTGGCTCCGAGGAGGTATTCAGGAGCAGCGCCCTCAAGCAGCTCCTAGAGGTGGTTTTGGCTTTTGGGAATTACATGAATAAAGGACAAAGAGGCAATGCATATGGATTCAAGATCTCCAGCCTCAACAAGATTGCAGACACGAAATCCAGTATTGACAAGTAAGTGCGGGGCCCTCCAGCACTTGGCACACCTGGGGGATTTTATAGAACATGACTTTTATAGTGCCCACCCGGACACAACAGTCTCATTCAGGGTATGCGCCTGCTCTTCCATTCCCTCCTATTCCTCTCGCAACCCGCAAGTTCCCAGGGGTCGTCCTTCATCAGTGCATAGGGACACTGTCTATCCCATTGGTTCTTAACCTTCCTAATGCTGACACCCCCTTAATACAGTTCCTCACATTCTGGTGACCCAGCCATGAAATTATTTCTGATGCTACTTCGTAACCATCATTTGACTACTATATTTGAATCATAATGTAAATATCTGTGTTTATATAGTTTTAGGTAGCCCCTGTAAAAGGATTGTTCAGCACCCCCCCCCAAAAGGATTGCAACTCATAGGTTGAGGGTCACTGATCTCTTCCAAGGGTTTTTATTGTTGGCTGTCTTTAAAATGAGTAGATGAATAAATAACTCATGGGCCCGGTGTGATGCTTCGGTAGGTAAGGATGCTCGCCACAGACTAAGGACCTGAGTTCAGTCTGTGGGGCCCACCTGATAGAAGGAGAAAACTGACTCCCACAACCTGTCTTCTGACCCAAACCAACATGCCATTTCACATGTGCGTGCCACGTGCACACATACATAATAAGTAAATAAATCTAAAAATGTTTACTTCGAAGCATAATGTAATGTATTAAGGAAAAGCCATTGGTCAAGAAGATAGAGCTCGTTGGCCCTCTCTCTATACAACCCAAACCAAGACCCGGCCCTCCAGCTCCGGATGTCTTATGACCTCTCTAGTCACACACAGAGAGAACTACACTTTGGAGAAAGGAAAACACTGACAGGCTCAGACTGGTGCTAACAGCCACATGAATGCATTTGCCTACTAATCTTCAGCTGCACAGCCAAGACTTATTAAAATGTGTTCTAGGAAGTGCACAGTGCTGCCACTGAGGTGAACAGAGTCTGGCTAGAGGCTCTGAGGTGTCAGCTCCTGTGTCCTTAGCAGGTAGGGTCATCATGCGCATTAACTCGTTTTCCCAAGAGCTTTGTTTCTCTGAGGTTCTCGTTGGCTTCAAAGGAACTGGTACAGCCCTTCCTAAGGTATGTTCCTCAGAACCAAATCATTTTAGCATGTCGGATTGTTCTCCCTGATTACTCCTTGCTAATGAGACTTTTTACCCTATATTTTCTATAGGGTTAGTGAAGCATGGTGTATAACAGCCCTCAGTCATTGAAAAAAAGAAACAAGCTGTGCACTAAGCTGTTATTTTTGCATCCTAGAGACAGAGTGACGAACACTGTTGTGTTAGATAAAACCCTGCCATCCTCATTTTAATGGGCATCCCAGAGCCTTTCACATACGTCACAATAGCTTGTCAGTACATAGACCAAGGTACTGAGCACGCACATGTTGTTAGATAAGAAAACTGAGGCAAAATCAGGTGGCTTCATCCCCCCACCGCCCCTGCCCACCTGCACAGTGCTGCTCTTTGCACATAGGTGGGTCTTGTTGTAGTAGGGACCTGCAGCCTCTTATTTGCATATAAAGAGCAGCTGTCTTTCAGAGGATGCCATCCCTTCAACTGCTTGCTTGCAGGTACACATACACATGCAAAATCAAACGTCTGCCCATCCCCAGGCCTTTTGATGACTTGGCACTGACATTGTCATCTGCCTATTAAAATGACTACAGGATTTACATGTCCAAACCCTTTCAAAAGAATAAATAAAAACTATTTCTGATCTCTTTCCCCTTCTGTCTGCTTCTGAAGGTGGTCCCCAAATGTAGCACCACTACATATTGTGCCACAGTTGCCTGGTGGAGTGGTTGGCTGGTGAGCTGCCGCTTGTTCACTTGAGTGGAACTAAGTGCCTGTGCGGTCGGCACCAAGGGGCTAATTCAGTAGCCGCCAGGACTAGTCTGACGCATGGCTGTTCAGCCGTGTTGGGTAATGCGGTGTTACTTGGATAGCAAACAAGTGTGGAAGCCTAGCCTGGCTTTAATTCTTAAAAACGCACACAGACCAATTGAGTTCATGGAAATTTCTCTAGATAAAGATGCATGTCTCTAAAATAATGAAGAAAAAGAGCATTCTTGTGATAGTTGCTGGCATTTCCCTCCCTCCCCCACCCCTTAGGAGAGAAGCCCAGGGCAAGCAGGTAGGTTCTATGAACAGCAGACCTTGAATAATAAAATGGAGCTAGCTCAGAGAGGCCTGAACAACTAGAATACCAACCTCTGATTTGCTTTGGTGGAAATTGCTTCCTAATTACTGACAGGAACAAAAAATAAAGAGAAGAATCTGTTTGAGCCCTTGACTTGGGAGTAGGATTGTATTGTCCGGGTAAAGCCACAGGGTACTGAAGATGCTTTATATTACTATGGAAAATTGATAGGCAACTCTGTTTCACTTTGATCTAGGTGGGATGGGGGATTGTGACTTAGCCTTGTGAATTAGCAAACTGCCTAATTATGGAAATGTTACTGAAAAGGTATTAGTATACTTCTAACTATATCAATGTTGGTAGATTAGTAGTTCTTCATCTAAGCTAGACTAACCAGGGATTTTTAACAAATAACCATGCCTGGGCCCACCTCATCCCAGTTAAATGGATTTCTGGTGTTGGCCCAGGCATCTGGAGTCCAGGTGACTGTAACGTGCAGTAGAACTGGTGACAGCAGGATCAGACTAGCACAGCTTTGCCTGATAGCATTATCAACACCCCCTTCCCAATCAAGGTCAGTCAAGGTTCAGCTCTGCCGCACCAGACAGGGAAATGCAGCAACAGCTGTTATAACTACTAAGGGTCATGCAGTAAAGAGCTGAAGAACCTGCTAAAATTAGACGTGACCTCACAGCTGCAGGGACATTCTGTATGTGCTGTCACAGTCTGCTTCCCACATCAGCTCTGAAATAGGGACTTTCTGTCCAACCACTCGATGAAACCAGAAGTGAGCATCACCAGTGACTATAGCAAGAGCTGTCCTAGCCTTGCAGAGTCCTTTTAGGCGTCCAAACAGCTGCTCCTTAATGGGTTAAACAACTGTTCTTATGCTACGCTACCAATCCTTAATGTATTTTGGTTCCTGCCCCGTGAGTATATACATCATCCGCAGATTAATCATGTTGAGTGTTCTCCTTTTCTTTAATTTTAGGAACATTACCCTTTTACACTATCTAATAACTATTGTGGAGAATAAGTACCCCAAGGTCCTCAATTTACACGAAGAATTGCGGGATATTCCTCAAGCAGCGAAAGTCAAGTAAGTACAGTGGCAGCTTTCCTTTGACCGGCTTCACGTGCAGCGTGGGGCGCTTAGCTGGCACCGCCTGGAAGTGCAAACTCGGAAAGAAAGTTTGAATCACATCCAAATTATTCAAATGTGTTAAAGGATATATTTTTGTTCAGGGTCTTTTGGAATACTCACCACCCCATCGTATAAAACCTGCTTTTCTTAGTAGTCAGAGCATAAGCAGCCAGGCCTGTTGGCTCAGGCCTGTAATCCCAGCTTCTCCAACTCAGAAAACAGATGGGAGGGCTGCAGGTTTAGTGCAAAGGGAGGTCAAGGTTGGCCTGGACAACTGAGCGAAACTGGCTCAACAAAAGTAAAACAAGCCAGGCAGTGGTGGTGCACGCCTTTAATCCCAGCACTTGAGAGGCAGAGGCAGGCGGATCTTTGTGAGTTTGAGGCCAGCCTGGTCTACAAGAGCTAGTTCCAGGACAGGGTCCAAAGCCACAGAGAAACCCTGTCTCACCCCCCCCCCCCCCCCCAAGAAAAAAAAAACAAAAACAAAAAGAAAAGTAAAATGAAGGCTAAGGATGTGGCCAAGTGGCAGAACATTTGAATAGCATGGAAGGCCAAAGGTTCATTCTCACCAATGCTTTTAACAGCAGCCCTGTTGAACACAGGTAACCCTGAGTTAGGGAGGACACGTGGCGAAGCCAATAGACGTCTTCATGCGAGGGAGCCACCAGTCACTGTCACAGATACACACGCTCCTTGGAACCGAGCAGCCCTTTAATGCGAAGCAGTCTTTATGCAAATCAAGAAACTAAAAATAAAATGGAAAGTCGCCAGACCTTCCCCACAGATCCTGTGCTGTTTCAGAGATGGAAACAGGCAGCTTTCCTTGCTGTTTCCTCCCCCTCTTTTTGTTACACATGTACTTAAGCTGGCCTTTTGCAGTGAATTTACAGCCTAGAAGGAGTAGGCTAATTATCTCCCTCGATAGAACTTGGCAGGAAGTAGTAGGTATCACAAGAAATTAATCTGTAATAATGAAGTATTGGTGAGCTCTTTGGTATGGCGGGAACTGTCTGTAAGAATTGAGTTTTAATCTTTAATGTTTAAAAGCTGTGAAATCTAGTCTTTCTCCACTAAGAGCAAAGAAGGCAACGAAAATGAAAAATAGCCAGGACAGTGCGGGGGGCCATCCTGACCGGCAGGAATGAACGCCACCAAAACGAGAATTCCTTCCCTGGTCACATCTTTATTTGGAGCCCTTTGATTGAGGAAAATTGGGGGAAGGGAAGATAGAGCAGGGACGAGAGAAAGCTTAGAGAGAGAGCGTTGGGCCCCGAGGCAGCTGCTTTTAAAAGGTGAAGAGGCTTGAACGCTGTCCTGATTGGTTAATGCCATACTGCTGTTCTGAGCATGTGCAAGCAAGGGTGCAGGCAAGGGTGCTCAGCCCCACATGGCTACCTCCAAACTGCAGGACCACCTGTGCCTCCAGGTGGCTCCCTACAGGACAGCTCTCAGAAAAATGCCTGGGGGTTGAGGCTAAGTGTTGTCCGCTCTGCTCCAGCCGTGGGGAGCAGCAGCGTCTGGACTGGAGGGGTTATCAAATATTTTTGTGCACATGGGAAACATTTTTCTTCTATTTTTAACCTGTAAAATATACCTGCTGGCTGAGGAAAAAAATGTACAGATAAAGTATACATATAAGTTTCATATTTTTTAATGATGTAGCCTTTTGTGGGATCTGAGAATAAAAGGGAATTTTTTTCATTTTATCATATAAGTATGTGTATGTGTATAAACATGTGCCTTGACAAGCCTTTGGAAGTCCTAACAACTGTGAAGTCTATTCTCTCCTTTCGCTGTGTGGGTCCTGAGGAGTAAACTGAGGTCATCAAGCTTGGCTGGCACTAAGCACCTTTGCCTACTGAGCCATCTCACTGTCCCTGGATTTCTAAACATTTAAGCTAAACACACACACATATCTGAATCCGAGCATGAACTCTCTCAGGTCACAGTGTATTACTCCTGTAAGCTTCATGCTGCCTGCTGAAATGTTGCCCTTTTCAACAGCATGACTGAGCTGGACAAAGAGATAGGCACCCTGAGAAGCGGCCTGAAAGCTGTAGAGATGGTGAGTACCTGCTTCCCTGGTAACCGCCAACCTCTTCACCGTCCTGCTTCCCCTGGTAACCGCCAACCTCTTCACCATCCTGCTTCCCTGGTAACCGCCAACCTCTTCACCATCCTGCTTCCCTGGTAACCTCCAACCTCTTCACCGTCCTGCTTCCCCTGGTAACCGCCAACCCCTTCACCGTCCTGCTTCCCCTGGTAACCGCCAACCCTTTCACCATCCTGCTTCCCCTGGTAACCGCCAACCTCTTCACTATCTTGCTGGAGTTCTGACCTTAAACAAGCCTCCTTGGCCTGTGATCTGCCTAGGATAAACCTGATTCCATAAGACAGAATGACCACCAAGAACCAGTGTGGCAGCTTAGTTCTTTGTAGCCTTATGTCCTGAGTGGCTCACTGCAGTCAGAACTGGAAGTGTGCCTGGAGGGCCACAGGGTCACCTGGGAAGTAGGCCTCCTTAGAATGAGTGGGCCGGGTGAGGCAATTTCAAAGACCCTCTCGATTTCCATGTTCTGCTACTGTTTGATGCTGACTTTTTGAAGACTGATGTAACTTTTCTGTTGCTTTTGAACTGGCCCTTTGGGGAGTCTTTACCAAACATGCACTCGGACATACTGTGCCCAAGACACTAGGTCATGGTGACCCAGAGTCCCTGCCATTCCGTACTGCAGTGGTGAGAGCAGCCGGTTCCCTCAACAGGGCCCTGTCTAGATAAGCATAGTGATCAAAGAGGAGTGTGATGGAAGGGCTGGAAAGACTGAACGTACCAGAGGCCTGTGATCGACTGGCATGTAGCCGAGGACGTGCTCCTACTGGAGGAGGTGGACTCCAGTTCTGGCTTAGAAGCAGGGTGGTGTGAGACGGTACACAGGAGGGAGGCTGCCCAGGTGCAGAAGATGAAAAGGAACCACAGGAATGTGTCAGAAGACCAAGAGGAGTCAGAATGTAGCAGGGCTGTGCTAGGACACCACCTTGGGAGTGCCACATGAATGCAGCCGCCTTGCCGCAGAGCAAGTCTAGGGATGAGAGCCACCACTCACAGCCCCACCTGGTTGGCTGGGTCTGTACTGGGTGAGGCTACTGATTCAGAGGTAGGCAGAAATTTTCCCCTCCCTTAAATACCTTGCGAGCCATTTATCACCAAATGCCATGGCTCCCCTGTTGCTTTTGTTTAATTACAGACATAGACACTAAAGACAGCTCATTAAAGACAGTACTGATAACAATTTATTTCCCCCCCCACACACACACATCAATAAGATTTAGGAACATGTTTTTGAGGGGTTAGGGACTAAAGGGAGATAAAAGAATTGTGTTATGACATCCCTCCACAGATCTCAGAAGGCCCCGCTTTCGCAGGGCATTTTTGGCCAGGAATGCTTGATAAACTTCGGTGGTCACCTTTTTCTTATCATGTAGGCTTCCTTGAGACTCAAGCGGCAGTTGTGCCATCCCTAAGACAGGTAGTGGTCACTCTTGAGCCCTGTGTCCAAGTTAGCACAAACCAAGACCCGGTCAGGGTGGTGTCTCAGGGATGTGCTGTGGCTTTGCTCGCTAAAGCGTAGCTGCACTGCATCTCCTGGGTGGCACATGGTAGCACCATGCTCTTACTAGGAAAGGGACCGCAGAAGCTGGCTCAGGGTTTCTTCCTGTGCTTGATACCATGACCAAAAGCTACTCAGGGAGAGAAGGATTATGTCACTTATATTTCCATACCACAACTCATGAGCAGGAGTCAGCGCAAGAACTCAAGACAGGAACCTGGAGGCAGGAGCTGAAGCAGAGACCATAGAAGAATACTGATTGCTGACTTGCCACTTATGGCTTGCTCAGCCTGCTTCCTTATACCACCCAGAATCATCTGCCCAGGGGTCTCACAGTCTGCAAAGAGTTGGGCCCTCTCATATTGCTCATTAGTCAAGAAAACACCCTAAAGTCTTGTCTACAGGCCAATCCAGTGGGGACATTTTCTCAACTGTGATTCCCTCTTCCCAAATGACCCCAGTTTGTATCCAGTTAACAAAACCACCAACTAGGGCAGAAGCTTTCTCTGCCCCTGGCAGCTGAACTATCTAGCTATAACTGGACATATTAGGAGGCAACAGAGCTTAACTCATCCAAATATTCGTGTATCCTAATTGTTCTTTGTCCTAGTCAGTGATGTTGTGTGAAGTATCAGAGAGAAATCTGATAGTGATTGGATAATAGCACCCTTTACCCTTTAAGATGGTTCATCATCCCTGCACCAGTACACACACACACACACACACACACACACACACACACACTGCTAGGCCAAAGTACTGAAATTGTGGTGATGTCTTCAGTCAGAACTGTTATGGGCTTTGGCTTATCCTGTCATTTAATTGTCATGGTCACATGGGCATTGCCCTTCTTTCACAATGAAAGGCAGCAAGGTCCCGAGTCGTCTGCCATCAAGAACAGGGCCAGTGGTAGGCTGAGTCAGAGCCCATAGCCCTTGAGCACTACCCTCCTGCTGAATAGTGTTTGCCACAGACGGGGCAGGAAAAACGTGTGACCATCAGTCAGTCAGGTAGCTCTGATCATAGTTATTGCCAAGGCTGGGGCAGGCAGACTGAGCTCAAATTCTGCCTCTGTCATTGGTCAGCTCCTTGGCTTTGAGCAAAGAATTAATCTCCTCTAAGGTCTGTGTGTCTGTGCAAGGGGGGTGGTGCTGTACCTGTAGCTGCTCAGAATGTGTGTTTCAAAGTGGCAGGACTTCAGTCATCTATGTGCCCTCACCATGGAGAAAATGGAATAGCAGCAGAAGGTTCATTTCCCTACCTGTCTATTCACCAAAACCTATTGGTGTGGACAGGAAGAAGGGAGAGGGTGGTTATGTTGCCAGATGCTGCAGCTCCGTTCTACTGACCTAGATACCATGGTTTAGGAAGTGAATAGAATTGGGAGAAGTGGGTAAACAAGACACCAGAATTCTGCACCAGAACATCAGCCTTTCCTTCATAAATCCTTTGAATCCAATGTGCTCCTACTGTTTGTTTGGGCTCTGTTGATTTGAACTAAATGTTAACTTGCTTCTAAAGCCAGAGTGAGAAATCACCCTGGTATAATACTCAGAAAATGAGTAACTGTTTTCAGTATTTCTGTGCACATGGCCTGAACTTGGTGTGGCGAGGGGAAGGATGGGAAAGTGGAATAACATGAGAGCTTTTAGATACGTTTGCTCTCTGAGCTGTTTGAGTCCTGTGGAATAGGAGACAAAGTGTGTGTGCGTATGAAACCTACTCCATCCGCATCTGCTTCCTATTTTCAGGAGCTGGAATATCAGAAGTCTCAGCCTCCCCAGCCTGGAGACAAGTTCGTGTCTGTTGTCAGCCAGTTCATCACTTTGGCTAGCTTCAGCTTCTCAGATGTTGAAGATCTGCTGGCAGAAGCTAAGGAGCTGGTAAATTTCCCTGTGCACTTACTTGTGTGGTCCTTCAGGCCCGAGCTCCCATGTGCTGCTTAAAGTCACCATCCAGTTTGGGAAGAAGAAGGAGTAGTATTAGACCATCACAGTCAGGAAGTGCAGCAGCAAATAATTGTTTTCCAGATTCTGCTGTTGCATGGAGCAATGGTATTTTCATCCCCAGGGTAGCCCTTAGTGTCCTGGATTGCCTTTTGCCTATGTAAGACTTTGAAGGTTTGGGATGGTGGCACCTTTCCTTTGGTTTCCACTGGATTGATATGCTCATCTCTGAAAGCACAGTACGTGATAAGTGCGGGGAGCAGGTGTGACCAAGGTCACATATATCTGTGTAGGATGCTCATCTGAGTCAGAGCCTCCAGGGGACAGGATGCTGCCTCTGCAAATGCACAGAGCGAGCTAACAGATGCCTTTTACTTCACAGCATCACTACAAAGGGACGTTATTTTAGTAAGACACTCTTTTGTGATTCTTTCTATTTAAATTTGTTTCCTAGGGTAGAAAGGCTAATAACCTTTTGTTAGGTAATAACCAAGACTTCTAACCTTGCTCCCTTAGTATAGCTTCCCTCGGGTACCTTCTTACTATTCGTAGGTGGTATTAGACCCATTCTCTACCACGGAGTTCTACACTGTCCACCTCTGAGTGCATTGTTGTTGCTGTGCTAAAATGACCTAAAGCAGCTGGGGAGGAAAGGGTTTATTTGGCTTATGTGCCCCAATCACCGTCCATCATGAAGGAAGTCAGGGAAGGAGCTCAAGGCAGGAGCTGAAGTGGAAGCCATGGAGGAATGCTGCTTACTGGCTTGCTCCCCACAGCTTGCTTCCTCATTCAACCCAGGACCACCAAGGGTAGCACCGCCCATAGAGAGCTGAGCCTTCCAACATCAATCATTAATCAAAAAAAATGGCCCCCCCAGACTTGCCCACAGGCCAGTCGATTGTAGGCAGTTCCTCAGCTGACTTTCCACTCCTCCCAGGTATGTCTGGTTGACAAAAACTACAGCACAGCTTTCGGCCGCCACCCTACTCCGTTCACTTCGGTCTCTCCTTCAAACCTGAGTAGTAGTAGGGATCAGATTGAACTCTTCTGTGTGGTTCATCCATCTCAAGTTCTCAGGCTGTGTTCACAAACATCAGCTCATCTCAGTGCTACCTTCCCGCTGCACCAAATAAATAAGGAGACAGACGTGCCACACGGCTGCCATTCGGGGTCCACCTCTGACATAGCACAGTGGCAACAAGACACACAGCATGGGTGTGGTCCAAACTCACTCTTGTGTTTGTAAAAAAAAGGGGGGGGATCCCTACTCTGGAGTCCTAACAGGTGACCTACCTCATCAAGGAGCTAAAATACAGAATCAATTGGGTTATTTTTATTTATTTATTGAAACACACACGCAGAGAACTCTGTGATTTTGTGTGTGGGAACATTAATCTAACCCAAGGTTCCTTCGGATTTCTAAAACTAAAATATACATGACTTCATCATCACTAGAATTCCTAGATAAAAAGATCATCCGTGGTGGCTTAAAGTGCATGAACTTGAATATTTTAGAAGCTCCGCTGTAGACTGTTTATTGCTGTTTTGTTCATTCCAGAACTTTTAGAAATCAGCTTATAAAAACCATGAATCAAGTTAGACTACTCTAATGTGGTGTGAGAAGAATGTTATGTTTTTCCCTAAAGAGTTCTGTTTTGTAATAGAACATTTCCAAATAAGTAAAACTTTGAGACTAGTTCCACATTAAGAGAAAATGGTCGAAAATATATTTTAAAATAGGCCAGTGAGCTGTTTCATTGAGTGAAACCACTTCCATGCAAACCTGATGACCCAATGACCTCCCACCCGAAGGGCAGAAGTGATTCTGAATGCTGTCCTCTGACCTCCACATGGGCATCATGGCACACGTGCACCTGCACACTTACATGTGTGCACACACAATAACTATGTTTAAAATAATAAAGTAATTATGAAAGGTGTACAAACATGCATATCTTAGTCAAAATTGTCATATATAGGAACATTGAAAACATCTTCTATAATGTCATAATATTACTAAAATATCAGAAGCTTTGACAGTATAGGTAATGCAAGAAAAATCAAGTCAGTTAGAAATTATGGAATTAAAGATGATACAAGCTTGCTGTGATCTGAATATGAAGAAAGTAGAAGGTCTTATCAGAACGCAGTTGAGTAACACAGGAAAGAGAATTCAGTTGATTCTGAAGCCTGGTCTCTGAGCTAGGCTGCACAGGGCCAGCACCCGGGGCGCTTCCCAGCATGGGAGCTCAGATCCGACACAGTGATATTGGTGGTGCTAATGCTGAGACTTGGGATGGCAAACTCTCCAGGTTACTAAGGAAAGCCCTCAGAGCTAAAGCAGAAACAGTTAAGAGGCTGGAAAAGAAGCTGTACATACTATTTTGTTTAAATTTTAAAAATTATCCCTAACTTTGCACTTGTCAGCTTCAAAAAGAGACGTTAAATGGATTTCTGAGACGTTGTAGGATTGGCCTAAAGTAATCTCAGGCAGAAACTTGGGATGACATGAATGACTCCACGGTCAGTTATTGCTTCCTAATTATAGCTGGGGGAGCCTAAAGACAGTATTAGCATTATTTATGGATAAGAAAAAGCAGCTGACAAGTCCCAGGTCCCATTTGTTTTCCATATTCACCTTATGGCCCCAATAAATGGCATTAAACTACTTCAAAGGACAGCTTAAAGTACAAGGTTTCCAACCCCCGCTGTGCTTGCTGTTGGTCTCTGGGTCTTGGGTGTCCAGGCCTACAATGTTGTGCCTTCTCGTGTTTACTGTTCTTTAGTTAATACAGAGTCATAGGAGGAAGTCATAGATGTTGAGCTGAGATGACGGGACGGGGTCCATGGCTTCAGAAGTCAGGGATATTCAGTTTCCAGCTTGGGAAATGATGAGAGGGTGCGCTCAGCAGCTGAAGGTAGATAATAGGCTGGCTAAAGCCCACCAGTTAGAGTTGTGCTTCAGCCTTGGGAGAATTCAATTGGATGATGGAAATCAGTTCTCTTGGAACACTGAGGTCTTTTTTCTTTTTCAAATCTTTTTCTCCAGTTCACTAAAGCGGTGAAGCACTTTGGGGAAGAGGCTGGCAAAATCCAGCCAGATGAGTTCTTTGGGATTTTCGACCAGTTTCTTCAAGCCGTGGCAGAAGCGAAACAGGAGAACGAGAACATGAGGAAAAGGAAAGAGGAGGAAGAGAGGCGGGCTCGCATGGAAGCTCAGGTGAGAGAGAGGAGGCTCACTCAGCAGGTCCTCCCGGAAGCCCTCGGCGCAGCCATTTTCTTTAGTTCAGTTCCTCCCTTCTGTGGTACTGGGGACCAAAGCCAGGGCCACAGGATAGACAGGTGCTCTGCTCCGGCACTCAGCTCTGACCCAGACCCAGGCCCTTTGTCCCCCAGTCCTGTGCTGCACTGTCCCAAAGGGGATACCTGTGCCATCTAGAGTGACTCAGACAGCTGAGATCCGTACCACATTTCTCACGAGCCATTTGGCAGTCTCTCTCCAAAGATTGGAAAAAGCCTGTCAACATCCCATGAATGGATCTCTTTAGAAATTACTTTTAAGAAGTGATTATAAGATTTCAAAAGGACATTTGCACCCTTTATAATGGCCCTAAATTATCTATGAACTGCCTCAAATGCAGAGAGAGAAACTGTAATGACTTACCTAGAAATTGGTAAGGGTGCTCTTTCTTTGCTTGTCCATTGCCTTTACAGTTAGCCCGCACATCTCCCATACAGATTAGAAGCCATGGCTGAAACATGGCTGCGTGGAAGAGATTCACTCCCTCCCACGTGGCACAGAATTCTTCTATGCTGAAAACAAAATACACTTTAACCCTAAGAAGATTCTCTCTATGTGCAGCTCAAAGAGCAGCGGGAACGGGAACGTAAGATGAGAAAGGCCAAGGAGAACAGTGAAGAAAGTGGAGAATTTGATGACCTGGTCTCAGCTTTACGCTCGGGAGAAGTGTTTGACAAAGACCTTTCCAAACTCAAACGGAACCGCAAACGCATTTCCAACCAGGTGACGGACGGTAGCCGGGAGCGACCAATCACAAAACTGAATTTTTAATTTTCTTGCATCCTTTTCTAGAAAGTGCAGTAGCAGCCCTTTGGCATAACTAGAACTTTACACTGCCTTGAAATTCAGACAGTGGCAATTTCTTCTCTCACCTGTGAGTGAAGTGTGAATGTGTGTGTGTAAATGTATGTGTATATATGTGAAAATGTATATAGAAGTCTGCGTGTTGTCCAGGGACCTCTGTGTATGCTTAAAAAGTTTATGTTAATGTGTGTGCTCAGAAACTCTCTGTGTATGCATTCATGAGTGGGGCTCATTTTCTTTCCCTGAACACCGTGGCTGTTCAGAAGCACAATACTCTCTCCTGAAGCAGATAACAGACATTCCTTGACATTAAAAAAGAAAAAAAAGAAAAAAAAAAAAGAAAAGGAAGAAATGAAGAAGAAAACAGGAAGTTAAAAAAAAAAAAGAAAAGGCTTGTCTTGTGGAGTATTTTGGTTTCCAAGGTTGGTGTAGTGAGACAATTTTCACTGGTAGGAATGGAGTTGGAAATACAGATTTGGATGAGTTTGGTGGCTACCCGTGCGACCCCTGCTGCCCGCATCAGCGACTAACGTGGAAGAACAGCCTCGCGTCCCGATGCTGCTGCTGGGGCACAGTCTACAGACGTCCGCTGAGAACATCTTGCACACATTCATATCATGTAGAGTGTCAATCCCAATTCTTCTGTATGTTTAAACATGGACACAAGGTTTCTCTATTTCATTGATTTTCCTGCCAAGGGCTCTTGATTTCTTTCTTCTTTCTTTCTTTCTTTCTTTCTTTCTTTCTTTCTTTCTTTCTTTC